CAGGTGAGCTGGGGTTCAGGCAGTGAGCTGAGGTTCAGCAGGTAGCAGGTCGGCAGGTGAGCTGAGGGGCTGAGCTGAGTTCAGCAGGTGAGCTGAGGTTCAGGCAGGTGAGCTTGAGGTTCAGCAGGTGAGCTGAGGTTCAGGCAGGTGAGCTGAGGTTCAGGCAGGTGAGCTGAGGTCAGCAGGTGAGCTGAGGTTCAGGCAGGTGAGCTGAGGTTCAGGCAGGTGAGCTGAGGTTCAGGCAGGTGAGCTGAGGTTCAGGCAGGTGAGCTGAGGTTCCAGGCAGGTGAAGCTGAGGTTCAGGCAGGTGAGCTGAGGTTGCAGGTTGAGCTGAGGTTCGCAGGTGAGCTGAGGTTCGGGCAGGTGCTGGGGTTCAGGCAGGTGAGCTGGAGTGAGCTGAGACTGAGGTTCGGCAGGTGAGGAGGTTCGGCAGGTGAGACTGAGGTTCGGCAGGTGAGCTGGGTTCAGGCAGGTGAGCTGAGGTTCGCAGGTGACTGAGGTTCAGGCAGGTGAGCTGAGGTTCGGCAGGTGACTGAGGTTCGGGCAGGTGAGTGAGGTTCGGCTGGGGTTCAGGCAGGGCTGAGGTTCGGCAGGTGAGCTGAGTTCTGAGGTTCAGGCAGGTGAGCTGGTTCAGGAAGAGCTGAGGTTTCTGAGGTTCAGGCAGTGAGCTGAGGTTTCAGGCAGTGAGCTGAGGTTCAGGCAGGTGAGCTGAGGGTTCAAGGCAGGTGAGCTGAGGTTCAGGCAGGTGAGCTGAGGTTCAAGGCAGTGAGCTGAGGTTCAAGGCAGGTGAGCTGAGAGCTGAGCGAGCTGAGGTTCAGGCAGGCTGAGGAGCTGCAGGTTCAGGCAGGTGAGCTGAGGGAGGTTCAGGCAGTGGTGAGCTGAGGTTCAGGCAGGGTGAGCAGGTTGAGCTGAGGTTCAGGCTGAGCTGAGGTTCAGGCAGGTGAGCTGAAGGCGCTGAGTTCAGCAGGTGAGCTGAGGGTCAGGCAGTGAGCTGAGTTCAGGTGAGCTGAGGTTCAGGCAGGTGAGCTGAGGTTCAGGAGGTGAGCTGAGGTTCGGCAGGTAGCTGAGGTTCTGAAGAGCTGAGGTTCAGCAGGTGAGTGGTTCAGGCAGGTGAGCTGAGGTTCAGGAGGAGCTTCAGGCAGGTGAGCTGAGGGTTCAGGCAGGTGAGCTGAGGTTCAGGCAGGTGAGCTGAGGTTCAAGGCAGGTGAGTGGGGTTCAGGCAGGTGAGCTGAGTTCAGGCAGGTGAGCTGAGGTTCAGGTGAGCTGAGGTTCAGGCAGGTGAGCTGGGGTTCAGGCAGGTGAGCTGAGTTCAGGCAGGGTGAGCTGAGGTTCAGGCAGGTGAGCTCAGGCAGGTGAGCTGAGGTTCAGGCGGGTGAGCTGGTTCAGGCAGGTGAGCTGAGGTTCGGGCAGGTGAGCTGAGGTTCAGGCAGGTGAGCTGAGGTTTCAGCAGGTGAGCAGTTCAGGCAGGTGAGCTGAGGCAGGTGAGCTGTTCAGAGCTCAGAGGGGAGCTGAGGTTTCTGAGGTTGTGAGCTGAGGTTCTGAGGTTCGGGCAGGTGAGCTGGGTTCAGAGCTGAGGTTGTGAGCTGAGGTTCAGGCAGAGCTAAGGTTTGAGCTGAGGTTCAGAGCAGGCAGGAGCTGAGGTTCGGGCAGGTGAGCTGAGGTTCAGGCAGGTGAGCTGCAGGTTCAGGCAGGTGAGGCTTCAGCTGAGGTTGAGAGTTCTCAGGCAGGTGAGCTTTCAGGGCAGGCAGTGAGCTGAGGTTTGAGGTTCAGGCAGTGAGCTGAGGTTCAGCTGAGAGTTTGAGCTGAGGTTCAAGAGGTGAGCTGAGGGTTGAGCTCAGCAGGTTGCTGAGGGTTCAGGCAGGTGAGAGTTGAGCTGAGGTTCAGCGGTTCAGAGCTGAGGTTCAGGCAGGTGAGCTGAGGTTCAAGCCTGAGTTTGAGCTTTTGAGCTTCAGGCAGGTGAGCTGAGGTTCAGGCAGGTAGGTGTTTGTTAATTGTGCATGAGCAAGGGTCGCGGAGGACGGTCGACTAAGCTCACTGTCTGCGCTTTTTCTTAGAAGGAAGGATAATGTCTTCTGGGAAACTATATGAGATAAGTGACATTTGATTCTCGGGTGATAAAAACACATCGTCGGGAAACACGTGTTTTTTTTTTTTTTTTTTTTTTTTTTTTTTTTTTTTTTTTTCGGTTCCCCCATCTCTCTTTCTGTTTGTCTCCCTCTCTTTGTATGTATGACTCTCTCTCGCTCTCACTCTCTCATTTCTGTTTCTCTCTCTCTCTCTCTCATTCTGTTTCTCTCTCTCTCTCCTTTCTTTTTTCTTTCCCTTTCATACACATCCTCTCTCTTTCTATCTAAGTTATAGTTATCCATCTGTCACTATCTCTCTCTCTCTCTCTCTCTAGTTGGAAGAGCTCATTTTTATTTTATCTTTGTTGTCTCTCTCTTCCTAAACAATGGAGCTGTCATAGCAAAGCGTTTATCACCTTCAATGGGTCTCTTTATATATCCTATTGGGTTCATATTTAATCCCTTATTACAAAAAAATGTGATTTAATCCGAATAAGAGTGGAAAATCTAAAAATCCCTTATTCCAGTTTCATCAATCGTGTGGATTTATTTTTCATTCGCTCGGGCACGCTCGCATTTATCCTCCCCCCCCCCCCCTCCGAAGCCACATACAACCATACGGATGTATACACGCGCGCGCGCATCTATAGAGCTGGGTTGTGTGTGTGTGAGGGGGGGGGGGGTGCGTATGTGTGTGTGTGTGTGTTTGTGTGTGTGTGTGTGTCTGTGTGTCTGTATGTGTGTGTGTGAGGGGGGGGGGGGGGTGCGTGTGTGCGTGTGTGGGTGTGTGGTGTGTGGGTGTTTTGTGGGTGTCTGTTTGCGCATGTGCTTGTTTATTTGTCTGTGACTCATTTTAACTCACTAACGGGTTCCATCTCTTCTTTATCATATCCTTTTTACATCTCCCTTCGATTCACCAACTCTCCTCTTCATCTTTCCTTCCCTTCCCCCCCCCTATTCTCCATCTCTCCTTCTCCCCCATCTCTTTCCCTCCCCTCCCCCCCCCTCTCTCTCTCTCTCCCTTTGTCCATCCTCTCTCTCCTTTCTCCGCTCCTCCTGTCTAAAAATAACTCGGATATTTATCGCGTAAATCCCTATATTAGCCTGCTGTAAATCTCGGGCAATCCCAGTGCACTTCACGAGGCAATATTTGCAGTGGAGGTGTTGAGGTACGGAGAGGGTGGGGGGGGAGGGGGGGAGGGAAGAGGGAGGGGGGAGGGGAGAGGGGAGGGAGAAGGGAGCAGTAGGGTTTGATAACAGGAGTGTTGGGAGTAGGTGTATGGGGAGGGGGAGGGGCGTTGGGGTTGGGGGTTGGGGAGGGGGTTGTAGGGTAAGCATTGTGAGGGTATTAGGACATAGTACCGTGTGTGTGTGTGTGTGTGTGAAATTCTATGTATATGTGTGCATCTCTGGCTGTCTACCCATCTCTCTCTCTCTACCCGTCTCTCTCCTCTCTCTCTCTCTCTCTCTCTCTCTCTCTCTCTCTCTCTTCTCTCTCTCTCTCTCTCTCTCTCTCTCTCTCTCTCTCTCTCTCTCTCCTTTTCTCTATTGTATGTGCAGTATGATAATAACCCTAAAATATACGGATAGGAAAAATGGAATGATAAAGTAATAAACTTCTAAATAAGTTAATAAAGGCGAAAATATGAAAAATAACGATAAATAAAGAAAACTGAGATAACAAGAGCCAAAAAAATGTCTTATCAGGAGTTTATGAGAAAGGCTGTCGTGACGTCACAGTACGGAATATGGCTAGCGCTATTAAGCTATGATAAATATTTGTCTTTATAATCTGTAGTCATTTGCTTTGTGTTTACGTATTATTTTCGTGATTATAATCCTTATTTTTTTTGTAGGCAAATACATGTGCCAAAACACACATAAATCTTATAAATGAAAACTTATAGATTATAGAATAAATTAAAAATTAAAAACTTATAGATTATTGATATAATTATAAATTAACTTATAAATTATGAATTATAAAACTTTTAAATTATAGATTTTATATATCATGATGCTCCTCCGTTTTGGAAGTGACACGCTTGGGAGTTAGATGTTTGGAAAATGAAATAAAATATTGAAAAGTTTGCGTCTCGGAATTCAGTAATTTTGGAAATGAGTTACTTAAAGAGCAATTATTTGGGGATAAGTCTCCTGCGTTATCATCGGTCGTGATGGATTAAGGCACGAGGGGGGGGGGGTGAGCACGTGATCGTTTTTTTTTTTTATAGCAAAAGAAAGATTTTTTTTTTAAAACCAAAAGGAAGAAGAAAAAAATAACGTTTTTTTTTTATTTTTTTTTTTTTTTTTTATTTATTTTTCTTTACCAAAAGGAAGAAGAAGAAAAAAAACGGAAAAAAAGAAAAAATCTCCAGGAAGACTAGAATGCATTGGTGTTTTATGCCCTGGGGGAACACTCACATTAAAAAGGGAAAAAAAACGTAAAGAAAAAGTATTGATGAATATAAAGTTTTGAAATAAATACAACCTCGACCAAATATGACATTTAGAAAGATGTAGTTTAGTTTCCTGTGGCTATTGAGTTACTAGATATTTTTTTAATCTCTCACGATGGAATTAAGAATAGGGTTTGAAATATCTTTTAGAATACACATATTTTCAAAGAAAGTTTTTTTTTTTTTTTTTTTTTTTTTTTTTTTTTTTTTTTTAATATCTCTCACGATGGAATTAAGAATAGGGTTTGAAATATCTTTTAGAATACACATATTTTCAAAGAAAGTTTTTTTTTTACTGTACTTCCGAGTCAGGTGGATAAAAGTGCATACGAAAATGAGGGAAATATAGCATTCATAAAGAGAGCATTTAAACGCGAAAATGAAATAACAGGCATTTGAGACCGGCCAAAGGTCCGCAATAGAAAGACAAAGATGAGGAGTGCAGGATGAAGCTGGGCGGGAGAGGAGAGCTCACCTTCGATCCTCGTGTGCGGCAGCGGGGGCGACGCCTGGTCAGCTGGGGGCGGCAGGGGCGGCTGGGGGTCCGGCCGCAGCAGCAACAGCAGCAGCAGCAGCAGGAGCAGGTGAGCTAGCAGGAGCACCAGCAGGAGAGAGACCACCCTCCTCTTGCCCCTGGTGCCCGCCACCCGCATGACGGGGGCGTGGCGAGGCAGGGGCAGTGGGCGGTGCTTGTGGCGGCTGCTGGAGGACGTGTCAAGCGACCATTACGTCATCGCGAACCGTGACGCAGACATGGTCCATTACGTCATCATTGGCCTGTCCCATGACGTCATCAGCGGAAAGGAGGTTCTCACATGCCGCCTCTGCGGAAGGAGAAGGAGAAGGGCGCGTGATTCCGGGGAAGCCGAGGGCGCCGGCGGGGGAGCCGAAGGGAGGGGAGTTGTGAGAGTGAGGGGCGGCATGAAGGGCGTGTGTGTGTGGTGTGGGTGTGTGCGTGTTTGAGTGTGTGCGTGTGTGTGGGTGTGTGGGTGTGGGTGTCTGTCTGTGTGGGTGTCTGTCTGTGTGGGTGTCTTGTTGGTGGTGAGCATTGATGGCATTCGTAATGATGATGATTCTGAAAAAAATATTGGTGATGGTCAGCTAATGAGAGGCACAGCATTGATGATTAGTTTGATATTGAAAATATTACCCTTTTTTCAGTTGTCACAGGAAACAATTTTGAGTCATGATCTTTCAGATGGATATCACAACATTTTCAAATATCGTTTGAAGCTTAACACGGCATGAAAAAAGACTAATTGATGCATAAAATGTTCAGCAGAGCGCAAAACTTATTAGTCATTTTGAAAATGAAAAATAATTATTGAATGGTTTAACAAAACGTGTATTGTATAGTAGCACGTGGATCAACACTCCATGTATATGCTTCTGTTTTACAAGACACAGTAATGTCGTAATGGCGAAAGAGTGTAATTGAGACTAGGCTCTTTTGAACGACTTATTTTCCTTAAAAGAATCTCATCCAATCTTGAAACAGAAGTAGAGGACCCCCCCCCCCCTCCCCGTCCTGAAAAATAGACAATAGCAGATAAGTAAAATTAGATTAACAAAATAATGATAATGAATGTATCATCCTAGAAGACGGCGTTAAATAAAGCGTAAAAAACACCCGTTTTATACAGTCTCCAAACCATCCGGGGAGAAAACGACCCCGTATAAAGATTCACAGTGCCACTTATAAGCACCGAGGGCCAAGGAGGTCGGTGTGCCTCGTGGCTTGTTTGGGGCGCGACGACAGGGGAGACTAACACGTGGGACGAATGGAAGACGTCGCTTTGAGGCCGGAGAAGACGTGGCAGAGAGAGAGAGAAGAGAGAAAAGGAAGATGAAGAGGGGAAATGGAAGTAATGAGAAAGAAGAGAGATGGAAGAGAAGTCTTCAGCAGGTGTGGGGACTGACAGAGGACGAGGTGTAGATCTGACGGGGCGAGGCTGAAGGGTTGTAGCGGAAGGGGAGAGGGAAGGAAGAGCGAGAGGAAGAGGAGGACGGGAAGGAGGAAGAATGAGTGGAAGAGGAGGGCGAGGAAGAAGGAAGGAAGGAAGGAAGAGTGAGAGGAAGAGGAGGAAGGTAAAGAGGAAGAGGAGAGGAAGAGGAGGACGGAAAGGAGGAAGAGGAGGACAGGAAGGAGAAAGAGTGAGAGGAAGAGGAGGACGGTAAGGAGGAAGAGGAGGACGGGAAGGAGGAACAGGAACGAGAAAAAAAATTACGGGAGAGGACAAAGAAGACGGACATCAGAGGCCATAACCCACGGAGGGAACTGACGGAAGACGAGGCGGAGAAAGGACGGGACAAAGCCGAGGAGGACACGAAAGAGTTATTGTGGGAGGAGGAAGAGAGAGGGAGGAAACGAATTAGGGCGCGCGTGGGGCAAGGGAGGAAGAAGGTGAGCGAGGAGGAAAGGGTAAGGAGGAAGCATTGTTTAAAAGAAAAGAAAAATGTGGAAATGGTTTTAGCAGTTAGGCGTAGAAGGAGGAGGAGGAAAATGAAGATGGAAGAGAAAGGGAATGAAATAAGGAAGACGGAAGGAGAAATTGCACAACTTGGAGAATAAAAGGAATAAAAGCTAAATAAGAGGAAGGTAAAGAAAGTAAAGAAGACGCAGAGGTAATGGGAAACGTATATATTTTTTATATAAACAATCTAAACAGTATTATACAATGGAATATCAGATATCCTGCCTAACTGCGCCATGCCAAGGAATGAGAAGGAACATTACGTCGAGATTCCGCGCGAATTAACCACACACATATATGTTGGATGTAATTCAGCAACGTAATATTCACTAACGGGAATGAAGACATATAGTTTACTCTTAACGGAATATCGTCTGTTTTTATCGTGTTTAAAATGCCTTTACGTCCATATTTTAAGGGAATATTGTCTGTTTTTATCCTGTATAAAATGCCTTTACGTCCATATTTTAAATAAGTCATATGTTTAATGAATCGCTTTCCGCAGACGAACGGTAACCACTTAGGATGATTGTGATCCTCTTCGCCCGGAGGTCGACGAATTGGCGTTGTGTTTCGTATCGTGCAGCTGTGGCCCGCGACTGGGAAAGGGAAAATGGGAAGAGATACACCCCCCCCCCTAAAAAAGAAAAAGTAAAAAATAATTAAATAAAATAAAAGATAAAATAAAAAGTTCAGGAAGTGATAAGAGGGGAAGCGCCATCTTTCGGACGGGTGAGAGAGAGAGAGAGATGAAAGAGAGAGAGAGAAAATGAGAGAGAGAAAAGAGAGAGAGAGAGAAATGAAAAGAGAGAGAGAGAAAATGAAAGAGAGAGAGAGAAAATGAAAGAGAGAGAGAGAAAAGAAAAGAGAGAGAGAGAAGAAGAGAGAGAGAGAAAATGAAAGAGAGAGAGAGAAAATGAAAGAGAGAGAGAGAGAAAATGAAAGAGAGAGAGAGAAAATGAAAGAGAGAGAGAGAAAATGAAAGAGAGAGAGAGAGAAAATGAAAGAGAGAGAGAGAAAATGAAAGAAGAGAGAGAGAAAATGAATGAAAAATAGAGAGAGAGAGAAAATGAAGAGAGAGAGAAAATGAAAGAGAGAGAAAATGAAAGAGAGAGAAAAAGAAAGAGAGAGAGAAATGAAAGAGAGAGAGAGAAATGAAAGAGAGAGAGAGAAAATGAAAAGAGAGAGAGAGAAATGAGAGAGAAAGAGAGAGAGAGAAAATGAAAGAGAGAGAGAGAAAATGAAGAGAGAGAGAGAAAATGAAGAGAGAGAGAGAAATGAAAGAGAGAGAGAGAAAATGAAAGAGAGAGAGAGAAAATGAAAGAGAGAGAGAGAGAGAGAATGAGAAGAAAGAGAGAGAGAGAGAAAATGAAAGAGAGAGAGAGAAAATGAAAGAGAGAGAGAGAAAATGAAAGATGAGAGAGAGAGAAAATGAAGAGAGAGAGAGAAAATGAAAGAGAGAGAGAGAAAATGAAAGAGAGAGAGAGAAATGAAAGAGAGAGAGAGAAAATGAAAGAGAGAGAGAGAAAATGAAGAGAGAGAGAGAAAATGAAAGAGAGAGAGAATGAAAAGAAGAGAGAGAGAGAAAAATGAAAGAGAGAGAGAGAAAATGAAGAGAGAGAGAGAAAATGAAAGAGAGAGAGAGAAAATGAAAGAGAGAGGAGAGAAGAGAGAAGAGAGAAAAATGAAAGAGAGAGAGAGAAAATGAAAGAGAGAGAGAGAAAATGAAAAGAGAGAGAGAAAAATGAAAAGAGAGAGAGAGAAATGAAAGAGAGAGAGAGAGAGAGAGAGAGAAAATGAAAGAGAGAGAGAGAAAATGAAGAGAAAAGAGAGAGAGAAAATGAAAAGAGAGAGAGAGAAAATGAAAAGAGAGAGAGAGAAAATGAAATGAGAGAGAGAAGAAAATGAAAAGAGAGAGAGGAGAAAATGAAGAGAGAGAGAGAAATGAAAGAGAGAGAGAGAAAATGAAAGAGAGAGAGAGAGAGAGAGAGAGAAAATGAGAGAAAAGAGAGAGAGAGAGAGAGAGGAGAGAGAGAGAGAGAGAGAGAGAGAGAGAGAGAGAGAGAGAGAGAGAGAGAGAGAGAGAGAGAGAGAGAGAGACAAAGAGAAGAAACCCCATCTTTCTTTTGGATGATTGTTACACTTCGGCCTGGGTGTGTGTGTGTGGGGGGGGGGGCGGTTCCAATTCCCTCGCTCCCAGGTGGCGCTGCGGCCCGGATGCTGCGGCGGCGGCCTCTCCCTGCGCTTCTCCTTGTTCTGTCTCTTTCTGCGGTGTCTTTGTTGGTGGAGGTGTTTACTGTTGTTGTTGTTGTTGTTGTTATTATTATTATTATTATTATTATTATTATTATTATTATTATTATTATTATCAACATCATCGCCATCGCCATCATTATCATTTTAATCATCGTCATCATCGTTATCATCATCATCGTTATCATCATCATTGTCTATATCATCATCATCGTCATCGTCATCATCACCACCACCATCTTCATCATCTCCTTTCTTTTTTGCTACTGTACATTCTCTTTTCGCCTCCTCTCTTCTTCGTCGTCTTCCTGTTTGTTTTTCTTTATCTGCTTTCAATCCTTCTTACTTTTCCATTCCCATTTTCTACTTCCATTACTATGTTGTTATCCTTATTGCTTCTTCTATTCACTTCTCTCCGTATATTCTCTCCCTCATTTTCCTCCTCTTTATTTCTCTATATTTTCCTCCCCCTCCCTATTCCTCTCCTTCGTTTTCCTCCTCTCACATTCCTCTCTATTTTCCCTCCTCTCCTATTCTCCTCCTTTTTTTATTCCTCCTTATTCTCTCCCTCATATTTCCTCCTCCTTATTCATTTCCTCATTTTCCCTCCCTATTCTCTCTTCCATTTCTTACTCCTCCCTATTCCTCTCTATTTTCCTCTTTTATACCTCCTCTCATTTCTCTACTCCTCCTTATTCCTCCTCATTTCCTCCGCCCTTTCCTCTCCTCCATTTCTTACTCCTCCTTATTAATCTCCCTCATTTTTTCTTCCCCTATTCTCTCCTTCACTTCCTCCTCCTCCTTATTCTCTCCCTCATCTTCCTCCTCCTCCCCTGATCTCCTTTCATACGTGGGCGGTGTTGTGAAGATAAGCCAGGCGAGGTGTAGGCGGGGAGTCGTCGGGTGGAGTTCGGGCGGGAGAAGACGGAGCTGGTGGAAGGTCGCGGGCGTTGAGGAGGGTAGCGTGGGCGTAGGAAGGGGAAGGGCGTTTGTCGGGAGGGAAGTCGCGGGCGTGGGATGGGAGAGAGTGGGCGTGGAGAGGGAGGTCGCGGGCGTGGAAAGAGAGACCATGAGCATGAAGGGAGAAACCGTAGGGCGAGTGAGAGTGAGAGTGAGAGTGAGAGAGTGAGGAGTGAGAGT